AACGAGTTAGGATTCTATCTACTTTATAATTAAAATATTGTTTTGTTGTTTTGTTGTGGATAAACGATTCACTAAAAGTAATTACCTGTTGTTAAATTTAATATTAATTTAATATGAAAAACCTAAAATATACCTAAAGTACGATAATAGTTGTGTTTGTTTTTTATATAATCGTATTACATTAGCGATATATAAGTTTTTTTTGGGAAAATTTCTGTGCTTTGGCTTTTTTGTATTGAAAATTTGACAATTTAATATTGCACTCGTTGACATACTTCAAAAGTCGGGGCTTAACTCGAGTAACAACTTTTTTTGTCAAACTTCGAGTTAAGCCACGGGGCTTAACTCGAATAACCCAAATCGTGTTTCGTTCTTCGAGTTAAGCCCTTTTTGAAAAAGGGCGTGGTCTTGGCTAAACAGGGCGTGGTCGGGGCTTAACTCGAGGGGCTTAACTCGAAGGGCTTAACTCGAAGATTCCCGACCTCGTTCGTGGTTGTTGTATATTATATTAAATATTTTGAATGTCTGTTTAATCTTTATAATTTTTTTTGCTCAAGACAAAGACAAAGTAAAATGTACTCTACGTTTCCAGTATATAAAATATCTCGTTTGTGTTTGAACAGCAATAGAATATTATAAACTTGACACAAACAAGAAGATATTTGACACGCTAAATCTGCAGTCATGCCTGCCAATAGTCGCAAGCTTGACAGCCTTGTCAAACGCAACAGGTACTAATTTGGTTTTAAACAGAAAGAAGTTCAATGTTAATACCACTAACATATAGTCTATGGAAATACGGGTGGTTTAAAATGTTTTCAATTGAATTTTCAAAGCTTTTATCTGTCGACATGATAATCAAACTGTGAAAATGCCGGCTTTTATTGACGCTTGCGAATGCAAAGTAACTTCCCGTAAACAGAGCATTTCTATACAAAACTCTCGCTTAGTCTTCTAATGCACTTGTATGTTCGGTTCTGCTAGTCAAACAAGGAAAATATCCAAGAAACACTGGTAAATTATCGTTGTCAAAAAACATTTCAGTGCTGAGGCAGTACAAGGTCTCAAGGCCAAGGGCAAGGTCAAGTTGTCGATTTCATTACATTTTACAGCAGTTCGAATGTTTTCGAACTCCTATCTCATACAAGAGCAGTAAACGCACGCATTTCAAAGCGAAATTAGACGCAAAGGGGCATTTTTTCAACAGAATTCATTGTTAAATTATGTTTCCTATGTGCCTTGGGAGCAAAAAAATATGATTTTAAATTTGGAGATTTCGGTAATTTTTTTTGCAATTTGGCCTGGTATTGCACCCTACCTATCTACTAACTGTGCTGTAAAAGTAATCAAATATACTATTCTTAATTTCCTTTCATTGAAAGGATCTACTATTGTGGACTAAACTAAATTTTAATCAGCATACAAGGCTGCAAACAACAGCCAAGAATTAGCTGGGTAGTTTGCAAACTTTAAAAAGAATTGGACCTCAAACTTTGATCTCCAGAAGTAAACAAATAGACAATACTGGGAACATAATCCAAGTTTTGATCACGAGGGGCAATTTTTAGATGTAAAAAAACTTGTTTAAATTACTTATCAAACGAAGCCAAAACAAAATTTGGTATTAATTTTTTGGTGAAATCGTCAAAGTTTTTTGCTATCCGCCCACGCTTCTACACCCCCTCTCCCTGGATATTCTACCTCAAAAAACAGTTTTCTGCAGAAACTATGCTTTTTTATCGGAAAAATGTTTACTTTTCTCAAAAAATACATTATAAACACGGAAACCTTAAATATTTAAATAATTTTCATACCTTTTTGGGATTGAAAAAAGCAAAATTTGATTCATTATCCCACTTTTTAAAATATATGTGACAAAGTTGCTTCAAAATCACCATCACGCAGTAGCATGTTTATTTACCCTCATCCTTTTGATTGAATAAAGTTTATCGTTTTGAAAAGCTATTTGTTTTATAGCTCTTGGTTACCGGTTTACGTTTATGTCGATTTTGGTACCCATGAGACCAACAAGTTGTGGTAATCCGCGAATCAAAATGGATATTCGAAGAGCACAAAAGCCAACTCCTAGCTATGTAACTTTATCGCCTGAAATTTGAATCAATCCAAAATTAAAATGCTGATAATGTAGATGCTTTCCATACTTGAGATGTTAGTGAAGTTTTTCCAACAATTTAATTTTCTTTATCGCCGTCTTAAAAATGCAAAATCATCAGTTGAAATTTCACTCGTGTTGTTTTTTCAAATTTTCGAATTTTTGTAAAATATCGCGTGCGCCAGCAATTTCTCTGCACAGCGACAACAAATTTCCCAGCTGCTCAAATTTGACCAATCACTTTGTAGGATTTGTTATGTTCATTTGTGCAAAAATACTAATATTAATTATTTATAGAAATAGGTAGTTATTTTAAATGTTCATTCGTTCGGGATTTGTCCATTCTTTAGTTCTACAGCAAAATATGCAATACGTTGGTCGAATGGCAATAGATATCATTTTTCTGATGCAATAATTGTTGGTGTTAATTGATTATCCAGTCCTAAATCATTTACCATTTTAACGAATGTATGGCATTCTTTGTCAAACAGAAAGATTACAAATTTGATCCAGTTCTCTAATTAGGTTCTTATATTTAGCTTTCTTGCGGTTAACATTGTTTATGAGTTTTGATTCAAAGCCTACGGTTCAACAATGTAAAGGTGTTTGTCTGAAGTGGAGAGAAGTAAATCTAGACGATATTCAAATCCAGGAAGGTAATAATAATAATAATAATAATAATAATAATAATAATAATGGTTTATTAACAGATCCAACAAGGTGGCTCTTCCCTGTTAATTACTACAGTAAATTAAACTAGACCTACTAGTATTTGCATTAAATCTTAAGTATCTCTATTTTAAAGTTTATCCCCGAGCCAACGGCGCGGAGCCCGTTCTGGACGTAAGCCCGGGGCGAGGGTACTAATTCCGCCCGGCTATCTACACCCGGGGAAACGAAAGCATTAGCGAAGTTTAAAGTTCATCAATGATCGCGGGCGTGGGTCACCAACGAAGTTTCGGTGGGTGGTCATCCTCACTGATCTCAAAAATATGGCGGACTGTCATGAATAGCAGACACTGATTGGTCAAATTTAAAGTTTGTATTATAACGACTGCATGACGAACAGCGAAATAGCAAACATTTCTTGATTTGTCAGATTTGATGATTAATGAATGACGATTCCTTGCAAATATATTTCATTTTTGCAAGATTTTGTGAATTTCAAAAGCCTCTTAAGAAAAGAAAGGCGAAAGAATTACTAAAAGAAGGGAGTAAAGGCACCGACGTTAACGGGACTAGCTAACAGTCGTGGGTCGTGGGTCGTGGGTAGAATGTCGTGGGTCGTGGGTAGAATGTCGTGGGTCGTGGGTAAAAAGTCGTGGGTCGTGGGTAAAAAGTCGTGGGTCGTGGGTAAAAAGTCGTGGTCGTGGGTAAAAAGGCGTGGGTCGTGGGTAAAAAGGCGTGGGTCGTGGGTAAAAAGGCGTGGGTCGTGGGTAAAAAGGCGTGGGTCGTGGGTAAAAAGGCGTGGGTCGTGGGTAAAAAGGCGTGGGTCGTGGGTAAAAAGGCGTGGGTCGTGGGTAAAAAGGCGTGGGTCGTGGGTAAAAAGTCGTGGGTCGTGGGTAAAAAGTCGTGGGTCCCGAATAAAAAGTCGTGGGTTCCAAGCAAAATATTTCCATATATTTACCTTTCTCCCTTTGGAATGCGTATTTTTTTTTCTTCTGAGGCTTTCCCAAACTATGCCCAAATATGCGTAGCTTAGAGCGCGTTAAGGCCGGGTTTTTGATATCGGCAGATCGGTTTATAAATATTATAACCAAGTGTGGATGAAACAGTTCAACTTCAAGCCCCATATAGCTCAAATATTTGGACGTTGTAATCTTATAGACAGATAAATATTGTAATTCTTCAATACGAAATAGTGCTGTCAAGCCTGTCATAAATAGCTAAATTCTGACATTCAGGGCTTCACTAATTTGTTGATCCATGTTCTTACAGTAATAAGCGAGAAATTTCCACTTGGACAGTGTTAATTTAATGCAATGTCTGTTAATTTACTAGGGAAAAATAAAAGAAAGCATTTGAGAGATTTCACTTAAATACATACCATGATGTATACATACCAGGAAGTAGTGAATCTAGTGTCAAATTTATCATGATGTGATTTGTATTTTCTAATGGCAAACATATAAGTTACAAATATACAGTCACATAGTGACACATACAGTATTTTGTAACATTCATGCTTTGACTTATCTTTCAGTAGGCTTTTGTCGGATTATTTTACCGTAGGTTTGATAACAGAGAGGTATACTTCTACATATTTCTTGAGCATCAAGTTTCAGCGAAGTCGGTGGCAAGTTGGAATTTGGAAATTTCACAGCGCTTATTTAATAACAGCCGGAGTAGCATTGTTTACATGCAAGGTTTGTTCCGTTTGTAGTTTGCGATATTTCAGAAATCGTTTAGGATAGACTTCAGCAGTTTTAAATAACAGCAACTTTGGTTGGTCTAGAGATATATTTTCTTGTAATGTTTACGACGATGTCGGTAATATCAACAACAAAATTACCGATATGGATATCGATGCATCACTATTTTGCAGACCGGCGATCTTCGAATTCTTTGTATAGTATATACATGAAGACCATATGTAAGTCAAATGTCATATTATTTCATTAATTAAATGGTTAGCTATATTCCGCAGTTCCATATATAGCTTTGAAAACATATGATGCCATTGCCGGTTATAAATATTTGACTATAATATCGAGTGGATAGTGCTACTCAGCTTTCGTACATGTCGCCTTGAGCCGATTCTTATTGAAGAATTGCAGTAACTAATTTATCTGTCTATAAGATTATAACGTCCAAATATTTGAACTATATGGGGCGTGAAGTTGAACTGTTTCATCCACACTTGGTTATAATATTTATAAACCGATCTGCCGATATCAAAAACCCGGCCTTAACGCGCTCTAAGCTATGCATATTTGGGCATAGTTTGGGAAAGTCTCAGAAGAAAAAAAAAAATACCATTCCAAAGGGAGAAAGGTAAATATATGGAAATATTTTGCTTGGAATTCACGCCTTTTTATTCGGGACCCACGCCTTTTTACCCACGACCCACGCCTTTTTACCCACGACCCACGCCTTTTTACCCACGACCCACGCCTTTTTACCCACGACCCACGCCTTTTTACCCACGACCCACGCCTATTTACCCACGACCCACGCCTTTTTACCCACGACTTACGACTTTTTACCCACGACTTACGACTTTTTACCCACGACCCACGACTTTTTACCCACGACCCACGACATTCTACCCACGACCCACGACATTCTACCCACGACCCACGACATTCTACCCACGACCCACGACATTCTACCCACGACCCACGACCCACGACTGTTAGCTAGTCCC